CGTTCGGTCGCCTACGGCCTACGTTCGGGTTCGGGTTCGGCTGCTCTCGGCTGCCTCCCAACTCTCCCTTTAGCCTTTTAGAAAGAAAGCCCTGCCCACCCGCTCATGAGAAATCGCGTTGCAGCGCCGCCGAGCCAGTTGTGTTTACAGTCAGGTCAAAGAAAGTTGGGACGAATTCAAAACTTTTCTACCGCATTTTACCATTGATAGATTGACAGACGGGTGGCACAACGGGCATTCATGTGCCAGTGCGTGCAAACAGTGACTTCTGAACGCGTAATTTCTCAAACGCGTTGGTCTGACAGCCGAGCAGGCCGAGGGAGTTCTCCCCAGAGCTATGTAATCTATCATGGCAGCCGCAGGATCTTCTCCTTGAAAGTGGATTGTTTTCACTATTCTCTCGGCTATTATCGTCCGAATCTCGGCGTAACTTCTTTCCTATCTGAATGTCGGACCCCGGCGGCCTGTCGTTTCTGATTACAGTGGACGGCAGAGTCCCTTGCCATTTCGGCAGGTGCAGGCTGTCAAGACGTTAATGTAAACAAATTTGAGGTTTGTTTCTACCTTTGGTTTGTTGTGAGTTGGCTGCTGTAACATCTTTTTATTTTTGTAATTTTTTTTAAAAAAATTGTAATGTCTCACTTTGTACCAACCCTACTAAGTGCAGTATTTGTATATCTCTTGTATTAATGATGCTCTACGGAAACCACATTCATGCTCCTAAGTTCGGTGTGACTGCAAATTTTTGACCCAACAGTCGTTAACTGTTGTCAATTTATTTAGCTATTTCACATAATTTCTCGACTTAATCTATTATTTTAATAACCTCAGCGAGTTTCATTCACTTATATTTTCTTACCTTATCTTTAGCTTCAACATGCCAGCGCCTACTTTGAAACCTCTCATCAGAGGGAAGTGCCTCCAGGATCTAAAACCCTTATATGATGCAGATTTTTCCAAGAGAAATGTTTCACAGTATGTGTTCTGACTTTTAAGTTTGATTCTTATTCTGAATTTGATATTAAGAGACTTCTGATATTTCCCATCTAGATTATTGAAATCGGCCCCTAAAATTTTAGAAGCAGCAAAAGATAATGAAAAAAGAGGAAATCAAGAAGATAGCTTCATTCATTTTATGAAATACTTAAGTCTAGTAGGATATATTATAAACTCAGATGAGTATAAGAAAAGGAAAACTGAAATCGATGTACTAAAGCGTAATATGATCTATGCCATGGATTCGGCAGAGAAATTGAGTAAGAGTTTGAAAGAAAGGTTAGTGTGAAGTGTTATCTTTGAAGATATTGTTTTACAAATGTTCAATTATCTTTCCACCTATAATTTAATTTTGGACATTTACAGATATGAACAAGAAAAGGCGAAAACAGAAGCAGTTATTCTAAAAGAAAAAAAGGAGGATACAAAAGAAAAGCCTTCATTCAGTCAGCCTAATGATGTACTCATTCCTGAAACAAATTTGGAAAAGTGTAAGGGAACTCACATGATAATTGTACCAACAACCCTTAGTTAAACAAGAATAATGTGTATACCAAAGTATCAAAATTTAGACCTGTTCCATCTTTGTATTTTGCAGCTCGGGTTAGTCTTACAAGTATGGAGCTCTACGTAATTCTGCAAGAGAAACTTTCTAATGTTCTTATCCTGGATGCAAGAAGTAAGAATGAGTTTCTTGAATCCCACATTAAATTTGACTGTTGTATCAGTGTACCTGAAGAAATTTTGGGTTCAATGTAAGTCTAGTAGTTTCTTTTTTTTTTTACAAAAAAGCTTGTAAAATAGACTACATAAACTACTGTAGCTTCCCATTTCTTTACAGATGTAGTGCTCGCAAGCTTGCAGAAAAGCTACCATCCGATTCAAGAGAAAGGTGGATTAAACGTCTCGAAGTAGAGTATCTTGTCTTGATGGACCTGTCCTCAAGTGCCACTAATCTACAATCAAACTCGCCTTTGCATCGTCTCCAAACAATTATTTTGCAGGTTGTACTCTGCTCATAAATTATCATTATAATTTTTAATACCCCATTCAAAGATTACCTTCTTTTTATCGGAGTTTATCCTGCAACATTTTCTAATATTTCTCTTGTGTCTCTGATTTGTATCTTGCAATAGTGGGATCCTCATGAAAAATACAAAAGTAAGCCACTTATTCTTGATGGTGGTTTTCGTGAGTGGTTGAACCATTACCCAATGTTTAGTACCAATTCAAATCCAAAACTACCACTTGAGGATTTTGACGACCATTTACATATTGGTTTGTTTGAAATTTTAAGAATGCTTTTTCTTTATCTCCTAGTATAGATATAGAATTATGACGTATCATTTTTTTACATCACATTTCAGATGATGTTGTTTACCCTGAATTAGCTGATGAAACACCTCAGTTCTCTAGAACAACTAAACCAGCCGTCAAGGAAATTGGTGTCTCTGATGGTTTGGCTGATGAGAAAGGAGTCCAGCTGTTCCCAAATGGTAAAGATATTTCTACAATCGAAATCAAAGTTGAGGCTAAGGAAGATCCGTCTCAAATCCCTGTAAACGAAATTTCATCTGGGACTAATTTGAAAAATCAGTCAGTCAACTCATTCAACATTCCAAATGTTGATCGTAGCAGCAAGGTTAGTGAAACTTAAGTTTATCAAAGTCTTTCATTTTTATTCTTGTGTTTTTCTGTATTTTATGTTTTTTCTTCTGATTTTTGAATTATAGTTTGCTGCTTTAAAGACATACAATGAACTAGGAAATTCAAAAAGTCGCAATGACATCCCTAACAAGGACAGAAATACTTTGTTTCTTAATGAAAAGAACCTACTTATGGTATGTACTTTTATTTTTTGTAAATTTAAAGCAATGGTTTATGTGGGATTGTTTTGTCACATTTATTTTCCAAACTGTTATTGAAGAATCATAATTTTTTAAAAGAAATTGTAGATTTACAATTGCCAGTATTTAATTCTTGTTCTTAATTTCAGAATGAGGAGAACGATATTTTGAAGAAACAGGATGATGAATTTGGAGGGGAAAAGGGTGTAGATAATGTACCTCCTAAATCATCTGGCTTATCTTCTATTACAGGTGACATTAAAAGTATGTAAGTATTTTCTTTTTGAACTGAAACCATGTATCCTTAGAGGAGATCTGTGCTCAACCTCTAATCACACAACAAGCTTCATTCACATAAAATTTGTGAAAAATCTGTGTTTTTATTTTTACCCATGTAAATAGATACTGTTTCATATTTCATTATTTCTAAAGATTATTTTTCTCTTTGAATGCATCTTTACAGTGGGGAAAGCGAAAGGCAGAGTTTAAGCAAATTGAGAGGAAATCCAAGTGAGTAATCCATAATCTATCGTATCTGCTGAACACTGTGCTTTGACGTAGTTTTGCAAAGCTACTAATTTACTTGTTTTTCTATTTTGTTTATTACAGGCACTCCTACAGCTGCCAAGAACATTGACTTGTCTGTACCTACATCTAGCTCTGGTTTAAAAAGGTCCAGGTCATCTCCTAATATTGCTCAGGTTATTTACCCTCATGTTACAACCAGTTAGGATGTCTTAGCTTTGCATAGGCTGATGAAAATAACTCTAATTGTCTTTTTTTTCCTCCTTTTCTCTTCTGCAGGCTGTTCAAGATTCTGAGCCAAAAGCTCCACTCCCTCATTTTGACCGAAACTCCAAGCCAGTAATCCAGAAACCACAAAATTTAGAATTCATAAATCGCCAAAGAAATTTCCAAGAAGTCTATGGCAATGTTGTAAGTATTATTTTTTTACAGGCGTTCCCCCCAAAATTATAGGATTGTTTTTGTTTTGACAAGCCAAACTTAACTCATCAATTTCTGTATTTGTAGAAACAAGGATTAACTGGACTGAGGAACCTTGGAAATTCATGTTACATGAACTCTATTTTGCAATGCATCAGTAATATAAGTGTCCTTAGCAATTACTTCTGTAGCGGTAAATATAAAGAAGACATGAATCGAAGCCCTTCTAATCCCACACGAGGGGAAGTAGCTGACGAGGTTGCCCATGTTATTCGCAACCTGTGGATGGGGCAGTACCGCTCCATAGCATGCCGAGATTTTAAGGTAGTGAATTAAAGATTTACAGCCTTTAAAGTTGTCATCAAATAACAATGAATTGAATGTTATCATTAAAATTTTCAGCGTGTGGTTGGAAAGCACATGGACCAGTTTCGTGGCTGTGGGCAACAAGATGCCCACGAATTTCTTACTTTTCTTATGGATTGGCTTCACAATGACCTGAAAATGCTGAAGGAGGACCATGTTAAAGAGGTTCTGTATAAGTATAACAAAACTAACAAAGTAACTCTATTGTTTTAATTTCCACTGTTTGAAATAGTGCTGAGGAAAAAATTAATTACATAACCACCGGTAGTTGTGTAATAAACACATACTACAGTATTATGTTCACCAATCTTGACTAACTATTGTTTTTCTTTTCCTTTTTAAATTCTTTTCAGATTTCTAACTCATTAGCTGGATCTAATAAAAGTAGCAATGTGGATGCCTTAACAGGTGGTCTCAATGCTTGGAAGGATTTTAGAAGTAAGCATGAGTCATTTATGCTTGCTGCTTTCTTTATTCAACAAGTCTCTACTGTACAGTGCTGCATTTGTGGGGCAAAATCTATGAATTTTGAAGAGCCAACATCCAATCTCACCCTCCTATTGCCCAGTACTCAAAAATGCACTTTGTCGGTATGTATGCTTTGTCGGTATGAAGACACGGAATTTTACTGCTTTTCCCATCAGTATCATAATTTATGATAATAATTTATTATTTTACATGGAAGGAATGTTTAAGATTATATATAACCAAGGAAAAGATATCTGGATACAAATGTGAATCTTGTCATGGGTTGCATGATGCAGAAAAATCTGTAGATTTATGCCGCCTACCCCCTATTCTTATTATTCACCTCAAAAGGTATGGTATAAAATGTTGTATGTGCTTTGTATCTCTTAAATATCAGTACAGAAATTATTTTGTTGATTTTTCTTTTTCAACAGATTCTATGCAAGTGGGTTCTACCAAAAACGTCAAACTTTTGTTGACTTTCCTCTGGAAAACTTAGACATGAGAGACTACACTCCCAATGTTCACCAGACTAATACTATCTACAATCTTTGTGGTGTGTCAAATCATTATGGTACTCTTGAAGGAGGACATTACACAGCATATTGCAAGAATGGAGGAAAGTAAGTGAACTGTTTGACAGCTAGCAAAAATGATTGACTTGAACTAATTGTCCTTCACACGTCTGATAAAATTTTTATCATATTTGCAGATGGTATAAATATGATGACCAAGATGTGTCTGAAATCTCACGTTCAAGTGTAAAAACACAAAATGCGTACATTTTATTTTATGAAGCTGTGAACTAACATAAACAGTATGCTTATCATCCTGAATATGTATGTGATGGTTTTTGTGTAGACTCTCAGTGACTGTACTGTTCAAATGATATGAAAAAATATATAGAGAAACTCCTGAATTGTGTCAGCTATGTAAGGACAGGTGTACATTTTATTTTTTTAAAGGTGCTGCAGTGGTTATGTACATTATTAATTGGGAGTATGTAGTCACAGCACCCCAACACAAATTTTAAAATCTTTATTAATTGTTTTATTTTCAATGACTTTTAATGTTTTTCTTTGTAATATTTGTTTTTCCTTTGAAAGGAAAGGATTCTTACTTTTACAGAGAAAGCAATTAGATTTGCATTTCAATTATCTATTGTATCTATATCATTCTATCTTTATTATCCAACAATCACTGTTGTGAGAAAATTAATTTAATGTGTTATTGTCTGTGATTCTCAACTCATTCAAGTATGGGAGAAATGTCATCAGTGATAAATTGCGACACTGCTCTCAAAAGATTTATCATGTTGATCCTGAAGAAAACAGAAACAATTTTGTTCTCTCTGATTCTCTCTGAAATTTACCTTAACATTCAATCCAGTAGTCTGAATATTATGTGCACCACTCAGGTCATAGGTTTGGTCAGTAGTAGTGTCACAAAATGCTCCTTGATTTGATGCGGTTTCAATGACCACATTGATTTCATACATGTACCCTTTTTATTTGCCATAAGTGGAATTTTTGAATTTTCCCAATACTATGTGATATCTGTTACATTTATTTACAACATAATTATTATGTTCATATAAAACTATATGTAACAACAATTTATCTAAGCAGCTGTTATGAATTTCTGTTTAATAAAGAAAACAAAATGCTATTCTCTCAGTCTTCCCTTTCTATGAAAACGTCACCAACGCCATGATCACAGAGAAGAACATGAGTAATAAATTAAACGACCAATCAGCGTTGCCGTATCAGAAGCGTGGTCACCGCGGCCTGGGAGAGGCCGGCCCTCATTGGTCGGACAAGTGCGTCCATCCGACTCTGCACCAATCAGGTGTCACTATCGTAGTTTGTTTTCCGAGATCGGCGAAACGCCGAGTAGCGACACGGGCAGCAGGGAAAAACGCCGCCGCAAGCTCATGTGTTTGGATTGAAAATAGCGAAATCTGTATCAACTACCTCATCAATATGTTGGGGGATTTAAACAAAATGAAAGTAGTCGAGCTGAAGGCGGAACTGGCAGACCGTGGCTTGGATACCAAAGGAGTTAAAGCTGTGCTAGTTGAACGACTGAAAGCGGCGCTGGAAGCAGAGGGAGAAGGTAACTCCAACACCTTAAATTTTGCTATTTCTTTGATGTTTACTACTCCTGCCTTTAGTTCATTGGCATTTCTCATTTTGTGATACTTTGCTCACAGATTTCCTTAAGCTTAGTTCGTTTATGTCAGGTTATTGTTTGGCGCGAAATTCACTAGTTTTACTTTTGGGCTTTCGTATTTTGCATAATATTGCTCCTGTTTATTTGCTTTTCCACTCGGATTCTGGAACTGTCGTCCACGTATTGTGTTTCACTACTTGTAGCTTTCCTGTTACTTCTTGCTGAGGATTCCTATTACAAATATTAATCTGCAGCTTTTTAGGTTATGTACTCATCCGCTGCGTCTTGGTTTCACCACAGACCAGAGACCACAACGTTTTGAAAACATCTTTATCTACTACTTCACGATTTGTCTCTTTCTCTTCTTGCATTTTAAAAAATAAATTGGTTTTGACATTCGATTTGTTGTCTGTGCAGGTGCAACTGTGGGCGGTTCTGTATCAGGAGGTGAAGATCAAAAGTCATCCCAAGAAAGCAACGACGAAACTGAGGAACCCCTTTCCAGCCCTTCAAGGAGAGCCAGAAGAATGGTGTCAACAAAGGATGTTGACCATGGGGACGGTTCTCAAGTTGACCAAGAATCTAACCCTGTCACATCAGAGGAACATCCACCCTCACCCACCCCAATTGATCAAGAAGAAAATTCTTCCGTTGAACAGGAGGTTGCCTCTGTTGAGCATGAAGATGCTGCTCCCATTGAAGGGGTGAAAGCTCCGGCTGAACAAGCAGAGGAGGCACATCAAGAAGTTGACAATTTGGTCTCTGCAGTTGACCAAGAACATTCAAGCCATTCGACAGAGGAAGAAACATCTGCCAATGAACAGCAAGAAGATCCACTGGCAGTTGGTGATTCTGAAAACCAACAGCTGCTGAACAGTGATGCAGTTTCAGCACAGAGTGATTTGGAATCATCTGAAAGCAAAGATTCTACTGAGCAGCAAGAGGATGCTTTATTGCAGGGTGCAGAGGGTATTAAGTCTGTAGAAGCAATGGACCAAAATGAATCTGAACTTCTAGGTGAGGAGGATTCCAAATCTTCCTCTGCAGAGGCTGTTGGCGATTCACAATCTTCTTTGCCAGATTCTGTGGAAGATCAACCAACTCCGCCAGTTACTGACGAGGATTCTCAGTGTAAAGATTCTGAAACCACACATGATTCTATGGATATCAAGGTTGAACCTCCAGACTTCTCCCAAGTCAAAGCTGAAGATGGTGCTGACGAACCTGCTGTTGAGCAAGTTGAAGTATCCAAACGAGTTCGCAAGTCCCGATTTACTGATAATAACAATGCTGAGCAGGGTAGTGTGGAGGTAAAAGAGGAAGCTGCAGTGAAAGAAGAGCCCATGGATACAGAAGGTGAAAGTGACAACCGAGCGAAAAGTGAGTCTTCTAATGACCGTAAGCGCCGCCGGTCTTCCAGCAGAAGCCCACGAAGATCAAGATCACCCCCTGTTAGAAGACAAGATGATGAGCCGGAATTTGATGAATCAGCCCTGTTGCTTAGCTGGTATGATTCTGATCTTAACTTGGTCATAGACAAAGATAACTTTTTGACAGCTACCCCAATGCATCAACAAGGCTTTGGCTATGTGTGGGCTGGTGCAAGAGCGTCATTTGGGTTTTCTAAGGGCAAAGTATGTTTTGAAACAAAGTGTTTAGAAGAATGTGATGTGTCACACCTTGAAAATGAGGTGAATCCTCATGTCATAAGAGTTGGATGGTCAGTCCAGGGAACCTCTATGCAACTTGGTATGTTTACTTTGTCTCAATTGTTGTATATGTTTAACACATCCTTCACTAATGATTTGTTTCTGTTCTTTAGGTGAAGAAAAGCTGTCCTATGGTTATGGAGGCACTGGCAAAGGTAGTGTGAACTGTCAGTTCAAAGATTATGGTAAAAGTTTTGGAGTTGGTGACACAGTTACTGCATACCTTGTGAGTACTCATTTCCTATTGCCTGTGATTGCTCTATTGCTCTTAAAGTCTCTTTTGATGAATTTTACCTGTAATATTTTGATTATTAGGACATGGACAGTGAACCCAAGATTTTAACCTATGCTGTGAATGGAGAACCTCAGGGAGTTGCATATGAAATCAGTTCTGAAAGCTTGGGGGACAAAGCTTTGTTTCCTCATATTTTATCCAAAAATTCAAAGTTTTCTGTCAATTTTTCTGGAGAACCAGCATTTCCCCTCCTAGAAGGTTATACACTCTGTGGAGAGGTTGCACTTGAAGATCGTGTAGCAGGACCGCAGCGTCCTGAAAAGAAAGAGGACTGTGAAGTGGGTTTTTAGATTTTGTTACTTATCTACAGAATTCGTTTTGCAAATTAATCATGGATTTGTTTCTTACAGATGATTATGATGTGTGGTTTACCTGGGTGCGGTAAAACATTTTGGTCTACAAAGCATTCGGCTGAGAACCCAGAAAAGTTGTATAACATTCTTGGAACTAACAACCTAATTGATAAAATGAAGGTACGTGTTTAATTATTACTTTGCATTATTTTTTGCTAACTTGTTTCTATGAAGCATATTTTCTATTTAGGTTATGGGGCTTCCCCGAAAAAATAACTATCATGGTCGCTGGGAAGTTCTTATTGAAAAGTGTACTAAGTGCCTTCAAAAGCTGTTGGAGGTTGCTGGGCGACGTCGTCGGAACTACATTCTAGATCAGGTGAGATAGGAGTAATTTCTCCCCCTGTTTTCATGGCTCAGCCTGCACTGGTGTACTGTCATTGTCTCATTGATCGAGTCCATTCTACAGTTACAAGTCATTTTTCTGTTTTTTTTCTCTCTTTGATTTTTACAAACTATTACTGAAGTGTCAAAAGTTTATCTTTGAGCAATATCAGTCACCCTTGTGCAGGTCTTTTTTTTTCAGCGTGAACCAAAAACTCAGTTATCCATTAACTTTCCTAGTCCTCAGAGTCCTTAATCCTCTTAAATTATAGTGGAGTTTTTGATTCACCTAAAAAATCTCTCTCATCATCTTTGAGGTAAGGTACATTTTAGTGTCGCTCAGATTTCTCCTACATATTCCTATTGCATCACTTAATCAGGTATGTATCACTTAGTAAATTTGGGAAATAAAAGGGTTAAAATTTATATTTTTAATCTGAAAAAGGAACAAAATGTATAGTTGATTCTTCTTTTTTCTTTTTTTCCCTTTTGTTTGTTCAATGTTTAATATATTGATACTTCATGGGATCTTCAGTCCTATTGGAAATCTCTTCAGAAGGTTTCCATTTTTTAATTTTTTTTTCTTATCAAACACTGGCTCATGCTTGCATGTCAGAATTACTGCAGTAAGGAGGTAAGTTGTAAAATTTTAGCCGGAAACTTGGTCCTGCTGGAACCGATGAAGCAAATAGATGTTCAAATGGACTTTTGATGCTGGTTGAGGTGGTTCCCTCTTCATGTCGACAGTCACCGATTTTCTTTCTCATCAACTCTACATTATTCCCTGAACAGACCAATGTGTACCCAACCGCAGTCAGGCGCAAAATGAGATCTTTCGATGGCTTCAAAAGAAGAGCAGTGGTAATAGTTCCAGCTGATGATGAGTTCCAAAGGAGGGTAGCCAAACGAGAGGCAGAAGAGGGAAAAGATGTGCCGGACTCGGCAGTGCTGGAGATGAAAGGTGGGTTTGTTTGGTGTGCATTGGGTATAGGTTAGTAAGGTCTGCCTTCAGCTTTAGCTTTTTAATTTGATGCAGATTTGAATGTCTGAATGACGTACTGTAAGCTCTGGCGTGTATTAGTTATCGACAACTTGATTGATGCCACTATAGTTTTCTGTGTTATCTTTCCTAAATGCTTCCTAAAGTGCCAATAGATACACTTCCTTTTCAGTGTATCTTGTGTAGACAGTTTGCTTTGCCTCATAGCTAAGGAATGTGTAAGAAAAGCAGAACCATGGTGCACCTTAAATTTGTACTGATGTAAACTAGAAATTATTGGACTAATTTTATAATATTTAAATTTATCTGCAAGGTATTTTTATTGTCTTATCTAGCCTTTCTCAAATAAATATTGAGTTGCAGGATTAGTGCAAATGTAATATGTTGCAGGATTAGGTTGATACTCAGCCTACTCACACCAGGCACTGAAGTATCTAACCACTCCTCCAACACAATTTACCTTGTGCTTTTCACTCCTTTCTGGAGTTACCTGTTCTATATCCCGGACTTGTTGGGGTTAAAACTATTTGATACATTGTTTTAAATGCGCACTGTTTCTTTGCACCCCACTTAGTTACTTTTTGCAGTGCATATAAGTTGTTTTATTATCCTGTTGCTTTGTCCTTAAATCATATTTTTATGTTTACAGCCAATTTTAAAGTACCCGAAGTTGGAGACATATTCTCTGAAGTAAGTTATGTGGAGCTGCCAGAGGATGAAGCTCGAGCAGTGGTAGAGAAGTATCGTGAGGATGCCAAAGGAAAAGGCTATGTGGCTCAAACCCAGCAAGCCAAACGTTTCAAGTCTGAGAGGTCTGGTAATTCTGGAGATCGACGATTCGATGACAGACATGGTAGCAGGGATAACAGAGACCACCGTGACCGCAATCGAGACCATAGAGACAATCGGGATAACAGGGACCACAGAGATCGAGGAAGTAGCTACCGGCCTAGAGGTAAAATAGCACATTTTCAGGCCTGTGCCACCAGATTTGGCAAATCCTTGGCTCTCAACCATTATTTCATCTCACACCATCTGGTTGTATTTCTTGCAGGAGGTCCTGGAGGTGACAGGAACAGGAGTGGCTGGCAGCCTAGAGGTGGACAAGGTGGTGGATGGAGAGATAGGTCAGTCAGATTTCCCAGTTAAAATTATACTATTTCTGGTTATTTGAAGGGTCTCATCTAATTTTTGAATGTTTTCTAGGAATGATGGTTATCGTGGTGGTCGTTCTGACAACAGAGGGTCATGGAGGAGCGGAGGTGGTAGAAGTGGTATGGGTGGAGGCTATGATCGTCGCAGTGGTGGCTACAATCAGAACAGAGGTGGTTATGGTGGTGGAAGAGGGAACTCAAAGGTTTGTATTGAAATATTTTTTGAAGATCAAGTTTAAGTGACATTCAAAAGTCATGTCTTTGGTATTGAAAACTCAACTTTTATCCTAGGGCTGGGGCTACAACCAGGGGTCTGGTGGTTCTTCCTGGGGAAGCTGGAATCAGCAACCACAACAAGACTACTCTCAGTGGCAAGGCCAGAGCCAAGGTCAAAGTCAGGCTTCAGGATACGGCTCTAGCTGGAAAGGTGATTGTGAATTTTAATGTGCCTTGCCTTCAGTTGTAACTACCCTTTCATTTTTAACTAATTGTGTGGTTTGTTTAGGCTATGGGCAACAACAGCAAAGTCAGCAACATCAGGGCTATGGCCAAAGTTCAACAGGGTACACCACCCAGGGATACTCTAGCTATGGCAATGGTAGTAATTCTTACAATTGGAACCAACAGTATTATCAGGGTTACGGAGGGTGGGGCCAGCAGCAAGCGGTATGTAATTTTAATCTATCTATCTATTTTGTAGAGGTTGTACATTTCATTAGACGATGAATTCCACCTTATTTTTACTTTTCTTCTTTCAGGGAGCAACTGCAGCTAGTGCTGTAACGGGTACTGGAGCTTCTGCCAGCCCAGCTGTGGCCTCCACAACAAGTGCCACTTATGATCCGTATCAGCAGTGGAATAATCAGTTCTCATCTTATGGCTACTCGACCAGTTCAGGGTCTGCTGCCACTGGTGCAACAGGTACCACATCACATGGTGGGAAATGATTAATTCTGGATTAATTCTAAAACCCCTCTGTACCTGCTGAATGTACTGAAGTGTACAAGAACAAAACTTGCAATGTTTTGAGGTGGACACACTTGTACATGGCCCCTACTCTCATTTTTGTTTTTAGTACCTCAGTACCTCTTATCTAAGTAGACAAGCTTTCATCCCAAAATTCTGTGGGAGGAGTCACTCATGAATTAATGAAAGCTCTGAAAATTGATGGTTGTTAATTTTTGGCAGTATCTGCCAATGTATTACGATTACTAATGTAAGTATGACTAAAACTTTGTGTATACCTTTGGTGAACACACCATCTTACACTTCATTTGCGAGAATGTATGTGGTTCAGTGAAGTTTTTATGAATCAAATTAAAGATTAGAATGTTTTTACTGTTTATTGTCTATGTGTTGCTTTGTTTTCCAATACTGTACAAACTTGTGACAAAATATAATTGTACTGTACATAACTAAGTGTGTGCTGCGGATGCTTCTTAATTAAACCTTTGCCTATGGATGAAGACAGACAAAACTTTTCGTTTGACATTGCCTGAGCTTTGCTGTGAGAGTGAGCTCTGCGCGATGAACCTTCCACATAAATGTGGCCACAAATCCGGCGGCCAGAGTCAGCTCAATCCGACATGATCCCAGAAGACCCGTTTTCGGGCAATGGGTTATATCAATGTATGATATTCTACGCCCCCAGGGTGTAAGCAGAAGCTAAGGACCTTCTATGCACATAATCCCTGACAAGCCGTAAGCCCCGGACGCACTAGACAGACGCTATAGGACGCGGGAGCACCCCACCCACAGAGACAACTCGCGCAGAACTCGCGTACTCAGCGGGTGCGGAC